TTTTCAAGTATACAAAACAGTCTTCTGTTGGAAGAAGATGGTATCTAGGACTTTCATAGTTAGAGAGGAGAAGTTAATTCCTGGCCTCAAAGTTTCAAAGGACATGCTGACTATCTTGACAGGGACTAATGCAGCTGGGGACTTTAAGCTGAAGCCAACACTGCATTTACCATTCTGAAAATTCTGGGGCCCTTGAGAATTACGCTAAATCTACTCTGCCTGTGCTGTATAAATGTAACAACAAAGGCTGGATGACAGCACATCCGATGACAGTATGGTTTAGTGAATGTTAATACTTTATGCTTACTGTTGGGACCTACTGCTCAGACAAAAATATTCCTTTCCAAATAATACCACTCATTGACAATGCACCTGGTCATCCAAGAGCTCTCATGGAGATATACAAGATCAACGTTGTTTTCATGCCTGCTAACACAACATCCATTCTGTAGCCTGTGAATTAAGGAGTCATATCAACTTTTAAGTATTATTGTTTAAGAAATACATTTTATAAGGCTACAGCTGCCATAGATAGACGTTCCCTCAACTGATCTGAGCAAAGTAAATTGAAAACCTCCTGGAAAGAATTCACTATTCTAGGTGCCATTACGAAACCTTCATGATTCATGGGAGGAAGTCAAAATACTAACATTAACAGGAATTTGGAAGAAATTGATTCCAATCCTCATGGATGGCTTTGAGGGGTTCAAGGCTTCAGAAGTAACTCTAAATGCAGTAAAAATAGCAAGAGAACTCGAACTAGAAGTGGAGCTTGAAGATGTGACTGAATTGCCGCAATCTCATGATCAAATACGAATGGATGAGATGCTGACCGACTCCAATTCTGAAAGAAGTTCTACTATGGGTAAAATGCTATCAAACAGCCTTGTATGCTACAGAGAAATCTTTTGTGAAAGGAAGAGTCAATAGATGCAGCAAACTTCATTGCTGTCTTATTCAAGAAATTGCCACAGCCACCCCAACCTTCAGAAACCACCACCCTGATCTGCAGGGTGCAGATATGCAACTATAAGCATAAAACAAAAAACCTCTCAACCAGCAAAAAGGTTATGATTCGCTGAAGGCTCAGGTGATTGTGAGCATTTTTTAAGCAATAAAGTATTTTTTAATTAAGGTATTACATTGCTTTTTAAGACATACTTAATAGACAATGGTATAGTATAGACATAATTTTTATATGCACTAAGAAACCAAAAAAAATTGTCAGACTTGCTTTCTTGCAATATTCACTTTACTGCAGTGGTCTGGAACCAAATTGACAATATTTCTGAGGTATGCCCATATATTCAATCTTTCTGTGTCTTAATGTTCTAGGTGTTCCCTTGTAAGTACCTTATAAACTATTAATAGACTTTTCCTCATCTTTCAAAATATGCCCTCTAGCAGTCTAGATTAATCATTTAAAAATACTGAGATCGTAGATATATTCACATTTACTATCGTATTCTGTTTATTCTGCTTGTTATGCGTTTTCCCCTAGTTTCTTGTCATCTTTTGCATTGACTGAATTCTTTCTCATTGTTCTAGTTTTTTTTCTACTGGTTTAGAAGAAACATTTTCTTTTTCTTTTCTTTTTTTGAGATGGAGTCTCACTCTGCTACCCAGGCTAGAGTGCAGTGGCACAATCTCAGCTCATTACAATCTCCGCCTCCCGGGTTCAAGTGATTCTCCTGTCTCAGCCTCCCAAGTAGCTGGGATTACAGGTGACCACCATCACGCCAGGCTAATTTTTTATATTTTCAGTAGAGACAGAGTTTCACCATGTTGGTCAGGCTGGTCTCAAACTCCTGACCTCAAGCGATCCACCTGCCTTGGCCTCCCAAAGTGCTGGGATTAGAGGCGTGAGCCACCGCACCCAACCACTTTCTATTTTTTGTGTGTGCGGTTACCCTTGAAATTCTGCCCCCCATATTTAACTTTTAAAAGTGAGGTTAATCAATATTGATATATTTCCCCCAAATAATACAAAAGTCTTAGAATGCTTGAACGCTGATAATCTGCCTTCCATCTTATATGCTTTGTTATCTAGCATTATTATTCTATCATTTTAACCCCACAAATTAGACAACTGATATATATGTCCCCACTGTTTGTTTAGATTTATCTATGTTTACCATTTTCTCTGCTCACTATTTCTTCCTCCATCTCAGACCTATCTTCTAAAATTAGTTTCCTTTTTTCCTGAATTACGTTCTTTAGTAGTTCTTTTATTAGACGATTACTGACAGAAAAATCTGTTTTTATCTGAGTATGTCTTGTTTTTACTCTAATTCTTGACAACAGTTTGAAAAGTGTGCTGTGGAACTCATTCATTTATAAGTGATCTGTCTTCTCTCTAGTTATTTTAAGATCTTCTCCTCTCCTTTAGGATTCTGTAGTTTTTGTTGTTGTTGTCGTTTTAGACAGAATCTTGCTGTTGCCCAGGCTGGAGTGCAGGGGCATGATCTTGGCTCACTGTAACCTCCACCTCCCCAGCTCAAGATATTCTCCTACCTCAGCCTCCTGAGTAGGTGGGACTACAGGCACATGCCACCATGCTCAGCTAATTTTTGTATTTTTAGGAGAGACAGGGTTTCACCATGTTGGCCAGGCTGGTCTTAAACTCCTGACCTCAGGTGATCCACCCACCTTGGCCTACCAAAGTGCTGGGATTACAGGTGTGAGCCACTGTGCCCAACTGGGTTCTGTAGCTTCAGCATGAGGTGTCTAGGAATGGATTATTATATTGTTGTTTGTTGTATTTTCTGGATCTGAGGATTTGCACATCTCATTTATGGAAAATTCTCAGACATTTTTCTTTTCCTACATTGTCTTTCCCTCATGCTCTTTCTAGAACTGTCTAGGTTTACTGGATATGTTGGGCTAACTCATACAAAACTGCAATTTTACAGATCAAAATTCATCAAATATTAGCAATCTCACCTGGTTCAACCTAAAGACATTTTTATAGGTGTTCTCTGCCTATCAATTCCTCTTTCATATTTTCCATTTTCTTTCTGAGATCCTTGCTGTGTACTCTTTGACTCTCTCTTCTACTTCACTCTTTCTTTCTTCGCCTGCCTCAAATTGCCGTTGAGCACATCTTTTGGGTTTGTAATTTCAATGACTTTAAAATATTTGATAGTGCCTTCTTCTTTACTCATATTTAAGTCCATTTCCTATCTCTTGAAAGATTTTATATATAACTACCTAACAGTCAATGTTCAATAGTGCAGTACCTACAGTCCTTTGTGGGTCTAAATCTCGCTCTTTGGTTCTGGTGACTCAAACTTTTGGTGTTTTACTTGTGTGCTTGCTAATATTTTGAGGACAGGGAGCCTGATTTAATCTGTGGAAATCTGAGGGACCTACGTTTAGACCGTTTCATCCATGGAGAATTTGCATTTGTTTTTGTTGGGTGTCAAATTTTTTTTTTTTTAAGACAGAGTTTCACTCTGTCGCCCAGGCTGGAGTGCGGTGGCACAACCTCAGCTCACAGTAACCTCCGCCTCTCAGGTTGAAGCGATTCTTCTGCCTCAACCTCCTGAGTAGTTGGGATTACAGGCATGCGCCACCATGCCCGGCTAAGTTTTGTATTTTTATTAGAGATGGGGTTTCACCATGTTGGCCAGGCTGGTCTCGAACTCCCGACCTCAGGTGATCCACCCGCCTCGGCCTCCCAAAGTGCTGGGATTACAGGTGTGAGCCACTGTGCCCGGCCAACTTTTTTATCTCTTAACTTAGAGGTTCCTTGATCATGCAGGAAATATAACTTAGAACCCCATACTCCTATGAAGCCAATACAATGGTAACAAATCAAGAAAGGAGGCTATGCCAACTTGTTAGGAAGACAGACAAGTTTCCTTGTTGACTTCTTTAGCCAATAGGTACATTTTTTCCCCCAGCTTAAGCTTTCACCGAGGGGATGTAGCCACCTCAAAGTCCGAAGAGCTTTATCAAAAGTCTTAGATTCAGATCCCCACAGACAAAGTCTCCTACTCCCACAAATCTCCAAAGCTTTTGTTTTAGTATTTTGATCCCAACTGCCATGTTTTGTTTTGTTGTTTTAATGACTCTGATTTAAGTTCCCTGTTCTGTTTTGTTGTGTTGTTGGCCCTTTATGTTTCCCTTAATTTTTGTGAGCTTAATGTATATTAAAGAACTTTTAAAAAACATATCCAACATTTAAGTGTTTTATAGCTGTAGGGCTTTTCAAAGTATCTATTCTGCCTTACTATCAGAAACCTACATTTTCTTCTTCTCAGTAAGTTCTAAGAGAAATGCTAGTGTCTACATTTCATCATATATATTCCTGTGTTGTATATAATTATTACAGCTTCACTAATTTAGGTAAATGGCAAAGATAATCAGTCTAAATTTATTTAAAGTCAGAATTACAGAAATCATTTCAGAAAAAAATGAAGTTTGATTGACATCAACACCACCGAGGAGAGTATTTGATCTTGGCTAAGTACGTTTACCAAGTCATTTAAATTACAAGACACTAGCGCTTAAAAATACTTTGTTCTTCTAAGTGAACTGAGGATGACCCCTGAAATTTTTGTATTTATTTGTTAGGCAAATTAATAATTTTGGATAGACTGAGCAAAGTTAAGTTTTTTTGACCAAATAATAAGGAATTCTTAAATAGTGTGGAAAGAGATGTCTTATAAAGGGTAGAAAAAGATGTCTTATAATTTACATATATTGCAAATTCATCAGACTAAAATTCAGAGCATTATATCTACATAAAACGTGTATTTACCTGTCCTTAGAATAAAAGTTGTAAACCCTCTAGTTCAACTAAACTAAATTACTTGACAGAGAAATGATAAAAAGGTGCTTTATTCAGGGAGTTTCATAATCAACAACTAGATTCAATTTCAGATATCCTGCAAAACATTTTGACACAAACAATTATAAATTCAATTTTTAAAAAATGCCATTTAGCACTGAAAAAGGAAAGTTTGTCACGAGTATAAGATTAGCCAATTCTTTACCTCTCCAGCACTTGCACATTCTTTGGCTCTTCTGTGAAGTGCAGCCCATGTATCCTCATACCTAAAAAAAAAAGCAAAAAAATAATTTGAAATGCAAACCACACATTAAAAGGAAATACTATCTAAAGATGAATGTGGAATATCCTATGGTGCTAGAAAGGAAACACTCAAAAAATAATGGGGACATGTTGCAAGGACACATACGTCAACTTGATGGAGCTTCCAGTGGCCAAATCTGTGACAATTTGAGCAACAAAATACATAATGGTAGTAATGGATTATAACTCAAAGAATAAAACAAATATCCCTGAATCCATGGTGATGTAAATAATTGAATAAATAATGAGAAAGAAGAGAAAGCCTTTTCCTTATAATAGAAACACAATTAGTAATTTTTTTTTGTTTTTTTTGAGACGGAGTTTTACTCTGTCACCCAGGTTGGAGTGCAGTGGTGTGATCTCGGCTCACTGCAACCTCCACCTCCCGAGTTCAAGCAATTCTCCTGTCTCAGCCTCCCGAGTAGCTGGGATTACAGGTGTATGCCATCACGCCTGGCTAATTTTTGTATTTTTAGTAGAGACAGGATTTCACCACATTGGCCAGGCTGCTCTCGAACTCCTGACCTCAAGTGATCGGCCTGCCTCGGCCTCCCAAAGTGCTGGGATTACAAGTGTGAGCCACCGCGCCCAGCCCCAATTAGTAATTTTAAAAGAAATTTTGAGAAAAAAAAAAAACTCTAATTGGTAAACACAATAGTAATAATTGTTTTAAAAAGAATTTTAATGGATGATAAAATTAGTGGGTAAAAGCACAAAAAGAAATAGGATATTTACACAGTCTCAAAGTATCTCCCCATAGGATAATCATTAACTAAAAGTGAGAAAACAGTGTTAACTGAGGAGAAACCTGGCAGACACATCCTTAATAAAGTGATCAAAATCAACGTCAACAGTAATGAGACACATCAACATTATGTGACTCCTGATGTGATGCACTGGGAAGGATATAATATTACTCTTCTGGTATTCTTGCCAAAACAGTACTAACTTACAGTTAATTACAAGGAAATAGAAAAATCCAAATTTATAGACATTTTGAAACATAATTGGCCAGTACTTTTTTTTTTTTTTTTTTTTTTTTTGAGACAGGGTCTCACTCTGTCACCCAGGCTGGAGTGGTGTGATCACCCAGGCTGGAGTGGTTGAGCTCACTGCAGACTCAACCTCTTGGACTCAAGTGATCCACCCACCTCAGTCTCCCAAAGTGATGAAATTACAGACATGAGCTACACTATGCCCAGCCTTGGCAAGTACTCTTCGAAAGTATTGAGGTCATGAAAGACAAAGACTAAAGAATTGTTCCACGTTAAAGAAGACAACGGAGACATTTTGACTAAATATGATGTGTGATCCTGGATTGGATCCTAGTCCAGAAAAAAGGACACTGCTGGGATAATTGATGGAATTTGAATAAGGCCTATGGATTAAAGTACTTACTAATGTTAATTTTCTGGTTTGATCATTGTACTGTGGTTATATGAAATGTTAACATTGGGAAAGCTGAAATTGCTTGTTCTATTTTTGCAATTTTTTTGTAAACCTGAAATTATTTCAAAATGAGAAGTTAAAAAATAAAACTTCTAAACTACAATTCATTTGATTGCTGATGTAAAACCTGAATTCCCAATCTAAAATTCTAGCTATCCAGCCAATATTTCTCCAAACAGGAATACGTATTTAATGAGTTCATATTGCCTCCCCTCATAGATTCACAATTTTTCTATTGAATTTAAGTAGGAAAATCAATCCGAATAATCCAGGTGATACTAGAGTCTACATGTGATGAAAATTAAGGTGGAAGGTCACAAAAATAATACAGTCCTGCTCTCATGTTGAATAACAGAAAGCTAGATTTTCTTGGATGTATAAGATTATGTAAGTATCAATTAAAATAAACAAGTATTTACTGAATGCCAAGCACTGTTAGGCACCAGAACTGCTGAGATAAATTTTACTTTTGCATCTTTGTTGTCCTGGTACTTAGCACAGAACCTAACACAGAAGAGACACATTAAATGTCTGTTGAGTAAAGAAACAGACTAATTATAAAATGAAAATTTAGGACTTCGTGGTAAAATTTTCTATCATTTTCTTAACTCAGTGGGAAAGAGAAAATTAATCCTTACTTGCCAAATTTAGACTCCAGATCATTCTTTTCATAATATCTCACTATTTCCTTTTCTCCCCATTATTATGTATGCTTTTCACATCCATCTTGCCATTACACAACACCCTCCCTCATTTCTACTTTCCTAGTTCAGCAACTAGTTCATTCATGACTTTCCTACCGTTTTCAGCATTCTCTAAACCTAGACTACCCCAACCATTCAAGTTCTCTGCTCTACTTTTATGCCATGAAGCAGTTTGAATAAATGCATTAAATCCATTACAATGCATGCTATCCAACCTCCCATGGGCCTTCGCTGCCAATCAGCATGTAAAAAAAAGAAAATTTATTGCTATTAGATTGTTCCCTGAAGTACACACAGCGGGTATTACACATCTCATGCCGCCTTGAAACTTACCCCATCCAATCACTTTCAACAGACATATGAACTTACTCCATTTTACTGAGATAAAGACACTGGATGTAAACTTCAATTTTTCTGTGTTCAAACTCAAACATCTTTAAAAATCACAAGTCAATGATGACGAAATGAAGAAGCCACATTCATAATGTGTAAATCTCACATTCAAATCGTTATTGAATATATTCTATGTATACTATGGGAAGACTAGTGGAAGAGTTCACAATACAGTTAGGAAGATGAACACACATGTAAATAATTACCTTACTTGGTAGACAAAGGAAAGGGCTAATTATATAGCATTAGAGCCATAGGAACATAGGAAAGTAACTGTCGACTGTGTTGTACTACACTCTTTGAAACATTATGATTTAGGAAATAGAAGATGTCAGAGTTAGAAGCATCTAGAATCTACCACCCTACCTAGACCACAATCACATTGGCAGAATCTGTCTGATGTAACTATTTTGGGACTCTAGAATCTATTAAAGGCTTGCAACTTCCAGGGGAAGGTCTAGAGAGTAAATTGAGGTTCATTTCAGTCGACTTCAGGTTTTAGAACAATGGCAGCTACTCATCCACCACCCCAACCCCTGGACAGGCAGCCATGCACTTGTTCCTGAAGTAGCTTATACACAGCTTATGAAAGTCAAGGTGGGCCAATAAGGACCCTGTGCTCCAAACATCAGGGAGTCTGTGCTCTGATCACAATTGCTGCTTCTAATCAGGGAGATGCAGACACAGAGGCAGCTACTGTTGAAAACCCCTCCTACTCTGGCTAGCAATTTTCAGAGGATTTAAAAGGCCAACGTCTGGTTTTGTCCCCTTTCTTTGTTCTCTTTTCCCTTTTGGAGAGCCAGATACTTAAAGACTAGGACATTCAATAACAGACTAAATTGTTTTTTGTTTTGTGGTTTTTTTTTTGTTGTTGTTGTTGTTGTTTGTCCCAAGATGGCTTACTAGGGACATCAAAAGCCAGTTTTTCTCAAAAAATGGATAAAAGTTACTGGTGAGTGGACAAATTCTAGACAGAAAACTGAGGGAAGGGAGGCAGGACCTGTCAGAGTGCCCATGGGAAGAAGCTGGGGTGCAGAAAAGGAAAGCAGCAAGAGTCTGGCAGAGATCGACCCTCAAGGACCTTTAAGCCCTGTGGAAAGGGTAGGTGGGAGTAGTTCTCTGCTCCCCTCACTCCTCCAACCATCTCCTGACCAACAAACTGTTGGAGAGTGCTCCTCTGCCCTTGTGACCCAGAGCAACACTACTGGTGGCGATTTGAAAACCTCCTGGGGCTGGAGAATCTGGTGGCCAACTCGTGTGTATAGGCGTGTCCACACTCCCCTCAGGTGCCAGATACCATACTCGTCGCGCACTGGTGGTGGGATGCTGCCCTGCCCAGGGATTCTCTGCCCTTGAGTCACCACACCACCAGATTCCCTGTAAACACACCCCACAAACCACTCTAACTTTGGCAAGCACAGGGAACCAGCAGTTCCCCAGGTAACTGTGAGATCTCTGGAGATCTAACCCCCTGCATGGGCCATCCCTAAGTGGAAGAGAGTGCAGCCCACCAAAAGCACCCCACGGGACAAAGGAAAAGCAGGCACACTGCCAACCACTGCAAGAGGCACTATCATCACCCAGGAATGGATGTGGGGAAGGGGTCATCTCCTGCATCCCCCTACACTGTTGCTGATGTAGCAGTGTTCTCCCTGCCAGGGGCCAGTACATGCACTTGGACACACAACATTATTTCATGCTTCTCGTGGCGGCTCTACTTCTACTGAAAGTGAGCCCTGCACAGCTCAAGCTTTCAGGAAGAGTGGGGCCCAACTCCCCTTCCCTACACAGAGCAGTAACATCCCGACAAGGGAAGACAAGTTACAGAGCTGCCTGCTCCCATCTGGAGGAAGAGACTCTCCCTGAGCCCATTTTGGTGGCAGCCCTCAGAGGAGTGAACCCACAACCCACAGACAGGAACCAAAGGAAAAACTCTTTATGAAATGAAGGTTGGGAGCCTTGTGATGGGGGCATGATAGGAAGTGGATCACGTTCTTGCCAGCACAGAATGAGGAGTGGGTGTACCCACTCACCTTCTCCCCCAAGACGTCAGCACACCCCACTGGACCTCTTCCCGCCACCATCCCCTGCCCGCTCAGGGCAGGTGCTTCCACCCAACGCCAGCTCTTACTCTTAAGTGCCATCTACTGGACTGCAACCCGCACTGCGCCACCAAATAAAAATCTGCTACAAAAAGGGCTTAGTGCTAGTCCACAAGATGAGCCCCCTGGGATCTCCACACCCTCAGTTCCACAGGAGATAAGGTGTTAGGTGTCAGCTCTTAGAGCCAATTCATCACTACAATAAGCATCATCTGAGAAAGCCACTGCATAGAAGCTATCCATAACCAAGGAACCCATATAGCATTTTGGCTCTCTGGAAGCACCCGGAAACAAAGGCAAATGATAATACACAAC